CTCAGTCAGCACTGCTGGAGCATCCGTTTTGCAGTGGCAACTTCAGTTGAGGTCATGGTTCGTAAAGATCCCATGTTATAAACAGCTGCCACGTCCCGCCCCAGAGGTAGCTGCATCTCCGTGTGGGGTGAGGGATCCCTGTATAAAAAGTTGCCATCTCCCACCCCAGAGGTGGCTGCATCTCAGTGCTGCAGGAGCAATCTCAGTATATACAGCGGCAGCCACACCTCATCCCAGAGGTAGCCGCACCTCAACAATGGACGAGCAGCACATAAACCACAGCCACGCCTCATCCCACAAGCAGTGGATAAACAGCTGCCACGTTCCACCCCAGAGCTGGCTGCATCTCAGCGCTAGCCCATTGATCCCTGCATATAAACAGCTGGCATGCCCCACCCCACCAATGGCCGAGTGATCCCCTAACTAGCCCCAGTCCCGTAAGAGTCAGTTCTTCCGCAGGAAACGCTGCGTACGCCGTGCAGGATTCAGCCCAATGTCAATGAGAAGCCCCTCCGAGGACCGGCATTTCCAGGCCAGCGGGCAAGGTGGCGTTTGCAAAGGGGAAGCCGCTTTGCCATCACTTCACTCCAGTGCAGGTGCACAAGCAGGGAAGTCCCCGATGGATCGATAACTATTTGCTGTGGCTCGGCAGCCTGCACACGGGGAGGTCGTAGGGCACCGAGGGAGGTGGGATCATGCGGGCACAAGACAGACCAGTAGGACGCAGGGCAACACGCGGGCTGGGCTCTGGCTAGGTGGCCTCGTGGTGCTCTGGGGCTCAGGGGGTCCTGGCCTCCACTGCTCTGCAAAGTGGGGATGAAATGCTCCCGTGGCGCCATCACCTCACCCCCTGGGGAAACTGAGGCACCGAGCTGAGACGCGCCTTGTCCCAAGCAAGTCTGTGACGCAGCCTGGAAGAGAACTCCGTCTGTTAGTCCGATGCCTTAACCACAAGCCCCTTCCTCCTGCGGCCTTTTCCGTCCCGTTTCTGTCATTCGCCCACACAAACGAGGCCTTCTCTTTGTTGGCAGCCGCGGCAGAGCGAGTCCAACGCTGACGCTGAGCCTAGACAAGGGCCCGCCCCGGGCAGAGAGGACACCCCTCAGAGCAGCTGTTACTGTTAGCTACGTGGATCTGGGGGGACATCGGAGGCTCCAGATCTGACCCGACAGCAGCTTGGGCACTAAATACATGTCGATCCAGCCGGGCGGCACAACGTAGCATTTTAAGGATGCCCGATCTCCGCTTTTGGGGACATTCCCCCCCCACCCCTGTTTGTGGGTGGTATGGAACAGCGCTTATGCGTCCTTATGCGTCACCACCCTTTCCAAACCCTCTTACAGAGAAAGGTTTTGCCCAGGCTACACTCCTGGTACTAGATCCAAAATAAGAGAACGTTGCCTTTCAAACTAGCCGCTCCCGACCCCACCTAAAACGTTTCTGCCGTCGCTCTATAATGAAAAATAAATGTTTCATTCCAAACAAGAGCAGGAACGCGTCAGCAAGGTGTAACGAAGTGGGGGGGTTTCTTGTTTTCTGTGGAGTTTTCAATGGTTTGCATGCGGAGGGGGTGGGACTCAGTTTCCCTGGGTGTTACTGGTTTAACGAAGTGAGGGGAGAGGGAGTTTGTTTTGCAGAGGACCGGAGAGAGGACTTGGGGACCCAGCCGATGGCCTGGAGGATGGATACCCCAGCGACCGGTGACCTGGCGACCTGGTGACCCGGAGGCCCAGCTGAGGAGACGCAGCCGGTTCTGGCCAGTGGGCGGACAATGGGCTGCAGAGTGAGGACCCAGTGACCTAACCAGCCGGTTCCAGCCAGAGGGAGAAGCAGGAGAGGAGGCCCCGGTTTACGACCCTGTTTACCTGGAGAGAAGACAATGGACAGAGGTGGGGCCTGGGGCCGGTGATCTCAGATGCCCAGCTGGGAAGCAGGGGGGCTCTGGGCTGGAGAGGGGGAGCAGGCAGAGCCCACCTGGATGCAGAGAGACTGAGATGTGCTGGGCTGAGGGAGGCCAGGCTTGAGGCCCTGAGAGTTTCCTGTGCTGTGTTCAACTCTCAATAAACCCTCCTGTGTTACGCTGGCTGAGAGTCACTCCGGTCTAGAGAACAGGGTGGCATCAACCCCTTCGGGGGTGGAGGCCCCGGGGGTCCAGAGCGAATGGACTCCCTGAGGGGGCCCACGGCAGAGACAGACGTGCTAAGGCTCAGAGAAGTGCGGTTCCAGGAGGTGGAAGGGCCTGACCCCGAGAGAGAGTGGACCCCCCGAGAAGGGCTGTCGCACTGAAAGGGGCACCCCCCACGGACCGCACGGGGCCAGGAGTGGGCACGATCTGTGAGTCCGTGACACAAAGGTATTAATTATGCCGTTAAAAAATTCATTTAAAAAGGCGTTCCTCAAATCGGCACTACGCACATGGCGTTGGTTTTTCTCGGCAGCCATCCAGGTTTTTGCACTGGTGGGAGCGGTGGGATGAGCGAGCAGGCTGGGACGCTGGCATCGGCGCGATGGTAGAATTCTTTAACGCAGGAAATAGCTACTTAAGAAAGGAGGCTTTAGGGAACGGGGATGCTGTGATTATTATTCCTTATTTTTATTAGGGTAACTCCTAGGAACCCCAGGCCCGGCCCAGGCCCGCACAGTGCTAGGCGCTGTACATTTTTATTGCTGTTAGGTGTCTTATAGTAGCGCCTGAGAGCCCCACTATGAACCAGGTGCTGTGTATACCCACAATGGAAAGTCCCTTCCCCAAAGAGCTTCTGGTCTAAGGCCTTGTCTACACTAGACAGGGTCTGGTGGTACAGCTATACCGGCGCGGTTGCCAGCGTATTCCTGGAGGTTTCATCACATTACATGATCTTTAATTAAAGATTCATCTTTAGTTCCTGGAGGGTTGGCAACCCTATATCCCGTCCGAGCTCTTCATGTGGGGACAGACCTTCTATTGGCACAAATGTGCTTTCCTGGCACGGCGTAGTGCAGCTCCCCGAACAGAATCCGCAACCCGGCAGAAGGACTTTTGGCTGCTGTAATTGCGTCGGTAATTGCCTGGGGCTTTTGCTGGTATAAACACGTTGTCAAAAACCATCACCCTCCTAAATGGACATTCTCCTCCTGGCAAGAGAGTCGGGCACAGAGCGAGGCCGCGGAGCGGAGAAGAGGCGACAGCTGGAGACTGACAGGCAGATGTGGGAGCACGGGGGAGACGATGATTTCGTCTCCGATTTATGTTCTAATGTGCGAAATCCACAAATTAGCCTCATTTGTATTCCAGTAGCACCTAGAGACCTCGACTGAGATCAGGACCCTGTAGTCCTGGGCGCTGCACAGACCCCCCCAGACTGAGATCGGGGGCCCCCCCGGG